GTTTCTAAGTGGTATAACTGAATAATTCTAAACAAACACAAACAAATATTGTCATTACCAATCACCACTATAGTAAAATTGCATAATGCTGAGTTGTCACTACAGTCAGTTGCTATGTATGTTACTACATTTTCACCAATTTCAAATTCATCTTCTGATGTGTAATCTGACGTTATGTTTACATTGTCACAACAGTTGTCAGTTGCGTTGATTGGTTCCCAAGTGACAGATGCTGCCATAGAACCAGTTTCAGCACAAACTTCTATGTCAGCTGGGCAATTTATGACTGGATCTTCATCATCTGGTTAAATTAAAAATTATGATTTGATTGAAATAGAGTATACTATTATTTTTATAATATATACTTAGAATTTCTAATATTAACATATTTGTACCTAAATAAATGTATACATTGCATTGTTATAATACTTTGAATATCTTTCATCTTGGTATTATAAAATTAATACCCTACAATTTCTCTGGTGCAAATGCAGGGGGTGGTGTGTAGACGGTGCAATTGCACCCCCACCCCTAAATTGTGATAATAAAAATAATTGTTGTACTGTATTGTGATATCAATTACCAGTAAGCTTTTAAAGGAATGAGAGTGCAATTTTCAGGTCCATATTCTCAAAATGTTCATACCTCAGTCCCAACCATGGTGGGGCTGATACGCACCCCCTACCAGCAAATCCAACCATGGTGGGGCAGATACGTACCCCCTACCAGCCAATCCTGTGTCCGCCTCAGTTTCTATTACTAATAATACTATTCATAAACTTTTCTCAATGCATTACATTTTGTTAATAATAATTATAAGACAATGAAAATATGACTTGCCATAAATAGAAATGGTAAATGTACAATTGCCAGTGTTATCATAATTGTCAGTGGCATTACATGTAACAACAGTGCTGACATCAACAAATGTGCTTCCACTTATATAATCACATACTGGTGTGAAAGATTCTCTGGAGTTATCTGTAACATTGGGTGCTGTCCAGGTGACATTTGCCAAGCAGTTCTCGTCGCCTGTTACATTTTGGTTCGGTGGACATTCAAGATCCGGAGGCTCACAATCTAATTATAATCCATAAAATTCTGTTACTGCCACATTATTCAATTAATTTGCAGAATTAAATCGCTTAACATTGAAATATGCCTTTTTTTTAAATATTTCGAATATGCACCTGTGAGCAATAGAGATTAATCTTAACTACTGATAAGTACTTTTAATGATGTTATTTATTCTAATTTGTCTCTCGTACCTTCAATGATTATAGCAGTGTGCAATCAAACATTGTATGTTGATATGATTACCTTTAATGTTACAGTAGTATATTTAAATTGTTAATAGTACCTTTAACTTCAACAGTAAATTGACAATAACCAACATTCCCATTACAATCTGTTGCTGTATATCCTACAGTGTATACACCAAGGCTCAGAGGGTCTCCACTGGTGTAGTTAGCAGTTATGTTGACCTCACTACAGCAGTTGTCAGTTGCATTGGCTGGTTCCCAGGTGGCATTCACTAAATCTGTTCCTATGTCAGTGCAGACCTCAAGGTCAACTGGGCAAGTCACATCAGGGACTGTCTCATCTGTGCAATAAAATATAAATCATAAAGGTATTCCAAATGATAAAAATATTAATATATATTATATGTATGTATG